CCCCCCCAGTCCCTCCCCCCTCCCATCTCTTCCTACTCTCCCCTCCTTCCCTCCTTGTGTTCCTCAAGTACACCACATGAGCTCCTTGCCTCAGGGCCTTTGCGCTTGCTGGTCCCTCTGCCTGGAACGTTTTTTTTTTCTGTAGATTAACATCCGCCTTCTTCCCTGGCCGCCAGGTCGCGGCCCGCCCTCACCCCTGATCTCTGCGGCACTGACGCCTCTAACTGTTCATTTATTGTCTGCCTTTCTTGCTCAACAAACCATTAAGGGCAGGGTGTTGTTTTCTTCACTGTTATACCTGGAGCGCTAACACAGTAGGGTTCTCAAGTACCATTTGCTGACTGAGTGAATAAACGAATGAACGGGGCTAGAGACCCAGGGCTGTGACTCCGGCGAAGGGAAGGATGCACGGAGGCGCTAACGCGCAAACCTGACCTTCTCGGCCACGCGGGTCCCCTGGTTTTCGTGTGGTCTGTATCCTGGACTGATTCTTGTGTCCGAGCTTCTGCCTGGGAGCCTTCGGGACGCCATCCGTCTATGGGCTTCTTTCCTCCCTGTCGCCGAACAAACCGGAAGACGCGACGTCCGCGGCAAAGATGATGATGGGGGAGGGGCCTCGGAGGCCCGGGATGCCGGCCACTGAGCTGAGGGTTTGGGTGCAGGAGAAGGCGTCGGGGAGACCGGAGGCTCCCTCGGCTGACCTTGTTGGTTTCTTCCCGGGCAGGGTACAAGGCGGAGGTCACGGTCAGCCAGGTGTACTCGGGGAGCCTCCGCGTGCTCAATCGCCACTTCTCCCAGGACCTCGCCCGCCGGGAGTCCAGTGCCTTCCGCAGTGAAACGGCCAAAGCCCAGAGGATGGTAGGGAAGGGCTGCAGGGAAGGGAGGGAACGGACGAGGGGTGGGGAGGGACGCGGAGGGCCCCGGTCAGGCCAAGCCCGTTGGTCAGTCGCTTCAGAGCCCTCGCTGGGAGCCGGGTCCTCTTCCAGGCACGACGGGAGGGGAACGGGGGACAGGGGGATGGGAAAGTCAGTGGACTCGGGGGTGAAACGCACTTGGGTTAAGTCCCGATGGTCACTCCCTAGCAGCCTTACCTTGGGGGAGGTCAGGGCCGTGCAGGGGTGCTGTCCGGGCCCACCCACATCCCCTCCCCTCCAGGGCGATGGTTTCCTGCCCTGGGGATGGTCTCGGGCTGCCCGGACGTCCCACCCTCCGGCTGCGGGATGGCACCCCGCCCGGGAGGGCAGGCCGGAAGTGCTGAGGGGCAGGGCTTCCTGGGAGTAACCTTCAGCCACCAGACAGGGCGCGGGTAGATAAATACCCCAGCTCCCTTGGCCTTGGTGAGGCGCCAGCTCTGGGCTGCCTCCCAGGGCTCCGTGTTGGACGGTGCCTCAGCTGCCCACGGCCCTGTCCTCCTTCACAGCCGCATTGGCTGTCCCCCTGCCAGCCTGTCCTCCTTGCCCCCCAGCTCCCGGTGCTCTCCAGAATCACCCCCCAAGAAGCCACTCTCCCCACACCCTTGTCTCGGGACTTGCTCCTGGGAGACGCGCCCAAGGCTCTCTTTCCTCTGTAGCGCGGATAATCCAGAGGGGCGCGGGGTCGAAAGGGGATGGCGGGGACGTTGTTCAAGGTGTCCGAGATGCTCCGCAAATGCACCTCCTGCCGTCCGCGCCGGGCTGCGAACACGCACGCAAACCGACCAGCTCAGCCCCGTGGCTGGTGGC